AATCCCAGGGGCTATGCCAGACGCTCAAACCCAAATCCCCAGGTCATCTGTGGTCTCTGAAGCCCAAGTATGAGACTGTTTGGGTCCCATCTCTGGATTTAGACCCCTTCTCAACAAAAAATGCAGAAAACCAAACAATCTATCTCAAGCCATGTGGAAATAACTCAAATGAATTCACAGCATCCCATAAACCTAGAGCGCATTGTAGCCTCATCATCTTTCAGTGAGTTATTAAAAGCACTAAAAGCTCTTGCTCAGTAGCAAACCTGTTCAGTGACAAACTCCAGGATAAACGGCTCGTATTATGCACAAGCAGCAAACACAGAGCTGCTTATACTTCCCACAAACACATCCTCAGCTAGGAAACCTGGTTTCTAAAGTAACTTTTTTTTCTTGAATTCATTTCATTAAGATTAGATGGTAAATCTCTTCCCTAAGCTAAATACTTCATTTCCATTAAACTAAGATTAGCTGCCTGATTTACTGAGCGTCTTACCCCAGCCCCGATGTTAACCTTTCACACTGGGGCATGGGGATGATCATGAGGGTTTTTAACCAGTTATTTTCCGAATCAGAAGAGCGATAATTGGAAGCTGGCCTGACAGCTTTGTTGTTCTGGGACTTGGGTGCTGATGAGCGGGCGACATCTCGGCACTCCTGGGGAAGGCAGCCGGCAGCTCCGGGAGCGTTGGGGCTGGCCACTACTCTCCTCCGCTCCCCGCTTACCGGGGGTCTTCCGGAAGGAGACCTCCCACGAGGAAAACCTGCTGCGCCCCTGCAAAGGGTGTTAGGTCCAGATGGAATAAGCACATGAAATTTTAGAAGCTTATTTAAATCCCCTCTGCGGAAAAAATCCCATATAATTTCACAGGGATAAAGATAATGGCGTTCTCTAAGACATTTCTGTCCACCTTATTAGGGAAAGCTCTTTTCTGTTTGTTTGTTTGTTTGTTTTTCTTAATTGAGACTAGTTTTGAGTTTTGTGTGATGGTCCCGCTCAGCACCAGCTGTCCCTGCCCTGGCTCTGCCCCAAATGCTCCTGCCACAGGGTTTGCACGCCCAGTCTCCCCTTTGCACCCGCATTTGGCAGCCGGGCAGGACTGCTCCTGCTGGAGTGGCAGAGAAGAGAGGCCAAACAACAACTCCGGTGGGGGACAGGAACAGGACCGGGGTCACGGCTCAGCCCATGGGCTCGGTCACACCCTGGGGCACCAGCAACGTTTCCCACTGCCTGCGCTCCAAGAGATGGCATCTCATCGGCACGCAGTGTCCCCACCTGCAATGCTGGTAGCTACACTATTGGTGCCAAAAAACGACCACTTCCCTGCCACCTCCCACTCCGGAAAGTTCCTCCCGCGCCACTGCGATAGCGGGGCTGCGCCCTCGGGGAGGATGGATAAACACACGGCAGACAGAGCTGGTGGGGCTGCATGTGCCCAGGCCCATGGCAGCGGTTTGGCACTGCCAAGCAGAGATGAGAGCTGGCTTGGCAAGGACGAGTTCCCCAGGCCACCCTGGCTGAGGCTTTCTGAGCACAGGTGGGAGCATCCGCGCTCCTGCGAGGTGTAAAGGCACGTGTCCAATAGTCTATGCTGCCAGCACTGTGGCAGTTGCCCTCCCGATGTACCAGCTGCGTGGGGCAGCACGTGGTCCAGGCACAGCCGGTGCTGCAGACCACGGGGGTCAAGCAAGCTCGAGCGCCATGTCTGCGCCTGTCTCCTGGCCAGGCCTTACCCACAGACGGCAGTCCAAAAGGAGCTCCAGGCAGCCCACGCATGGCCCGCCACAGCAGAGCCGCTGCGAGGAGTGCGGGGGGATGCTGCGAGGCAAGGGCCATCCCTGGGCCACCCACTCCCAACGTCCTCCCCACCGCCAGGATCTCTGCAAGCACGGCTGAGACCCTGGCACAGAGGATGTTGTTATGGTAACTGTAATATCTTGCAATTCTACTGATTAAAGTAGGAATTGGAAAGCCAGGCCCGGAGTGGGGCCAGATGGAGACCTGATTCCCTAATGGCCATCGTCTCTGCCTGACCGTAATCCCCATCACGTGCCTTGTGCACAGACAGCGTCTCACTGTGCAGACCCACTCTGCTCCCTGCAAAAAGAGCAGGCAGACCTGCTGTGCAGATGGCAAGCCTGCCCAGGTCTTGCCTCGGCAGGACAGCTCCACCAAGGGCAGCAGAGATGCTAGACCGACACCAGGACAAATTCATCAAGGACCCCAAGCCCTGTCCTCACTTAAAACTCCACCTTGCACCATCCTAGCAGTGCAAAGAGGATTTACATGAGACAAGGCTATGTATCCAATCACTGCAAGAGAGCCAAATCCAGATAAGAATTTGGCTTCCAGCTCTCACCCACAGACGAGATAGGATATTTCTGAACCATACGCACACGGCTGCAATGCTGCGAACCCCCTCATTCCCCCATGGCTGATGTTTGGCAGGCTGCGTTTGGAGCAACAGTTCAGACCAGTCTCTCTGCCACTCTTGGAGGGAAAGAACTTCAAAGACAGAAATTTTCCTTCCTCCTCTTGATGTGAGGATTCAAGCTGTGCTAAAGTGCCAGATCCAGAGGGAGAAAATGCTGTGAGCTGAGGGCAGCTGCTTGCCAGTGGGGAGAGCAACACGTGCGCACAGTGCGAGCCAGGCCCGCGCACGTGCTCAGGCATGCCCTGCCGCTGCAGCGGCACCAACGCCACCGCCGGTATGCACACACGCTGTCCCGACAGACACGCATGCTGCCACCTCCATGTGCCCACCGCGCTCTCTGCCCTCAGCATTGGTGCACGCAGGCCAGCATGCAGGACAGCACTGAGCAGGGCAAACGCAGCCCAGCCAACCCAAGATGCCAGGGTGGATATGCATTTAAAGCCAAGATGTTTCTTTGCTCGCCTGAGTAGGGGATGCTGGCCTTAACCATTTCTAGCCCTGGACTTTCCTTGCACCCTCATGAGGCATTTTTAGCTGTGCAGAGGGAAAGCAGGAGCAATGCCTGAGGGAAACCACTGAATGCTCCACTTCCTGCTAATTGAGTCAGGGAGTCCATCAAAAGAAAGTCTGTGAGTGCTCAGCCCTCCTTTCCTGACCAGCAGCCCATGCACAGGGAGCAGGGAAGCTGCATCCCCTACAAACATCACAGGAGCCAGTGACTGCACTTCCTCTTTTCCTCCCCTAACAACAGTGATTTTCTCCCCTCTTTCAGGAGGGTAAATTACCCTGATAGAACGGGTGGCCCTTTGCAGTGCTCCTGGCCAGTACATCCCTGAGACAGGCGGCATCCGCCAGGACGGCACACACCAGGCCAGGGCTGGATGGAGCACAAGCGTCACACAGCTCCCACAGGGACTCATGCCTGACGGTCACCAGGAAAGGCCAGGCCCTTTCCAAGGCTGCCAGCAGACGAGTGATCCAAGGCGAGGGAGTTCGGCCATCACCCTCCAAGGTGGCAGGACAGATTTCCCTGCCTGGCAGGCGAAATTTCCCTGCCTGTCTGTTGTAGGGATAGCTCATGCTAACTTTAAATGAGCAAGCTGGGTTACTAGAAGTCTAGATGGAGCCATTTATCCTGCCAGGCAACGGGATGAATTAGCCCATGCTGAGCACCGTGCTGCTACTTATGGTTGCCAGGAACCAGCTAACCCATGCATTGCCAACTCCAGCATCTCTGCACCGTGCTCTGGAGCACAGATATCCCTGCCCTTTCTGCCTGGGCAACAGCACCTCTGGGCACAGATCAGGCAGGATATTGCTCCAGTGCTGGGAATTATGAGGATTAGAGGAACATCACGGGTTCAAATGGGGTTTCTGAGCAGGACCGAGCAGCGCTTGTTCTCATGCCCCGTTTTCCGCACCGCTGCTGGGAAGACAGACAGTCTGCTTTGCCTTCCACATGCAGTCACGCAGGGAAATTGCCCAACCGGACTGGGAAACGCAGGCACAGGAATGACCTCCACGGCATCCTGCCCTTCTGCCCCCACTGAAAATGTATCATGAACATATAGCTACTTCAATTAGCAAAATTACCAGTCCCTGATAGGACAGTCTCAGAGCATCCATGAATGTGTGACACATAGACCTGGCCAGATCCCATCTCTGGGACACAGCAGATGGGTGTAGCTCAGCCCAACATTTGGCCCTGGGGGAAGGTACCCCCACGGTCCTGAGAGAGATCCCCAAAGCCTGCTGGCAACCCTCAGCTCAACCCTAATCTTCAGTTTTCTAACTGTGGAGCTTGATTTATTTTCTGGCCTAGTTCTTGAATTAATTGCCAGCCTTTCTGCAACTAATTTAGTTTTCCTTTGAAAAAAAAAGGAGCCAAGTCCCGTGTTGTCAGTAGATGCAATGAACCAATCAGCCTGGTGACCATCACAGCACTGCAGGGATGGGGGCAGCAGGCGATTTTGTGCCTCCATGTGTGCTGGAGGAGTGGTGTAGACTACTGGCCACTGGGCAGACAAGGGGGTCTCCTTCCCATCTGCAGCTACATCTCACACTAGATTCAGTGGTCTGTATGCCAGGACCACAGGCTGCCACACGTGGGATAGTACTCAAGGTCTCCTGATCTCAGCAAAATATGGCAAAGTAGCCATGCAGGCTGCAGGGGTACGATGGTCCAGGAACAGCTGGGGCCGACACTCCATCAAGCTCAGAGCTCGGCTACTCCCCTTCAGAAGGTAGATGTCCAGCACTGCTGGGTCCCTGACCTGAGCAGCGAGCAATCTCGGCTGCAACTGTTTCCCTCTAGTGAAGACGATCTTTTCTCGGTTGCAGCTGCAATCCCACTGGGAAAAGGAGGTGCCCTGACCTGGGAACCACTCTGCACCTCCTACACTTCCCTAGGGAAGCTGCTCACAAGAGTAAGCAATGGCAGCTTTGTAGAGGAAACTTTGCAACCAAAGCCTGAGCTGTTCAGCCACCATACGCTCATTGCCAGCAGGCTGACGCCCATGTTTTAATTACCAGCATGGCAACATGAAGGTTACTGACACTCTGTACCTGATATTGTCAATAAGAAGCTGGTGGGACTCTTGGGTGAGAACCATGCAGAGGGCATAAGCCAAGTAGTCTACCTTCCTCTCTGCTGCATACTGCTTCAGGATGGCAAAAACCTTCTCCTTTACCTCTGGCTGATCACCAAGGATATCATCCACCTGCAGAAGGACAGGAGCAAGAAAAGAAGAGGGAACACACGTTAAGCACCAGAGAAATTAAACATACAGGTAAAAACTGTACAGAAAACACATCTTGTCTATTTTTAACACTCGGTCAACCAAAAAGAAAGGAATCAACGTAGTGAGGAAAGTGCAACTGCTGTTATCAACCGATCACTAAGCATTACTGGGGCCTCATGCACATTACAGCTACTGCTGTTCTGCATGTTATAATTATCACACTGAAAACATTGGTGTCACAGCAAAACCCAGAACTCTGCTGCTTCACAATTGGTCCCCTGCACGGGCTGCAAGGGGATGCACTGCTGGGCTTGGACCCAGCAGATCAGTTTGGAATCTACCCAACAGAGGACATCACAACAGCTTTTTAGAGATATTTAAGCCTCTAATGACACTATGATCCTGCCAAGTGACACTTTCTTGCTGTTAACTCTTGGATGGCTGCAGAGAAATACGGAGAGGGAACATGTGTGCGAGCATGGACAGTGGGAAAGGGCCTTGCCAGCTCATTAGTTGCCAGCCACTGCCATGTCCACTCCACTTGAGATAGCCATAATGGGCAGGCTAATTAGCTAACTAGTATCTAACCAATTATCCTGCACCCAACCCATGGGATCCTCATTAGTCTCCTCCTGACCCAGTGCTTGGGAGAAAGCTTGACAGGGGACAGTGGTGATGGTGGCTGTTCCTTGCTTTGTTGCTCCGTTGTGCAGCAGTGCAGGACACTGTCGGTGATGCTTTGCTCAGAGCCTACTTGATCCTCACCAGGTATGGCAAATAAGAAGGATGCAGAAAACTCTCTTTGTCACAAGCCTGCAGTCCCTGTATCTGTGTTGTATTTTCCTGTTAGGTAATAGTTTTGTGCTGATAGTGGCTTTAACTGTTTCCCTCCAGCTTTGCAAGCGCAGGTGGGAACAGCTAGTGAGAGCAGTCGCTTACCCTTTCCCTATGTGTGGCGCTGTATTTGTATCTCACCATAAAAACAGTGCAGATGAGCTGGATGAGAGAGGCCTTTTACATAAGAAAGGGAAAGATTTACATAAGAAAGCGAAAGAGTCACTGCCTCCTGGTGCTTGTTCTACTTTGAAGCTCTCCAAAGACAGTTATCACAGACACTTTAACCTACATCACAAACCACCAGGTACTTGTCGATTTGCGAGAGCCACCACGTGAACACCGCTGAGATTTCCACGAAGCAGCAGACCTTTCAAGGTTATCAAATCTGGGGCAGTAAAGGCAGCAGTTCCCCCATGGACAGATGCATGTGCTTTTTCGTCTCAACATCCAGCACAGTACTGAAAAAGAACTCGGCATTTTTTGGTGCACCAAATCCCAGGCCCCTTCTGTTAAATTTTTGCCTGAGCCAAGACTGAAGGGTTTGGCACAGTAGGAACTGTGGTGGTGTTACCACTGCTGATCAATATAACTCTTTAGCGTATTTCTGAGTGTAGGGGTAAAACAGGAGATGTTGACCTGGAACTGAAACCACGAGCATCTTTATCACTTTCTGGCAATGCCCGCAGGCTGCTATAATGCTCAACTTGCATAGCACAGCTCAAATCCTGGCCCTGCTGCTTTTATTAATGTTACTAATTCCGCCATGGGTCTGTCTGCCAAATGAGCCCTATTAAAACAGGGACTTTGTCGAATGAACAAGTGTGGGAAAAGGTTCCATATCTCCAGCTTGCAAATGACTTAAGAAATGTGAATTATAAGCACCCTTAGACCTTCCGGCCTTACACCAGGGCCAGGACAGGAGTACCTGGGTGTGCGTAGAGCAGTTTCCCAGACCCTACGTTGGCACCGGGATCGTTCTCTCTGGCTCTTCCACCAGAAGCACCAGTGAGAGCAGAGCTTCCAGGCAAAACAGGGGGTAAGGCACCCTGCTGGGTTTTGTTATTTTCTGCATGGTATAAAAAATGAAGCTACTTAAACATCTGAGCCATTAACTTCCCCTAGAGAGCTGTTTGCCAGCCAAGCTGCACTCCAGCGCCTGAAAGCCAGCAGCATGCAGCGCTCTGCAAACTCATTTATGCTCAGATTCTCCGGGGCGCCACAGCCCATCGCCGATGTGTTTGTTCAGAGGAAAGGGACATGGCAGAAGTACTGCTGCAGGAGCTAGCAGCATTACACGGGTATAGTGACCATGTTTGCAGGGGCCAGCCTGGAACCAATTCCAGGGGAATCGTGTTGAGACTCACACGAAAAAGGACTTTGCAAAATTATCTGCTTGCTTGCTTAAAAGTGCTCTCCCATGATCACCCAGAAAACATTTACATGGTTTAATGTGACTTCACTAGACTGAGGCAGCATGGAGCAACCTTTCCAGCAGTTGTTAATCTCCGGTAATCAGCGGGTATCTGTTTCACATGCAATACTCTACCTTATGACTCCAAACCTCAATGCATATTTGTGAATCTTTAATTTAAAAGGCGACTGAGGGGATTCGGCTGATACCTGTGAATCTCTTTATGAATGTCTTTTTCTTTTATTAGCTCAGGACCAAAAAAAAAAAAGAAAGCCTTGTTATTTTCATAACAGTATTCTAAAAGGCTACTTTGAAATGGAAATTAGAAAGATTAAAAAAACAACCATGATCAAATTTATAATTAGCAAGAGGCAATGTGTTTGGTAAACTACCCACTAGGCAGCCTTCAGGAACACAACGAAGATGTAATCACATTGATATCCTTCCCTTTGCAACAAAATAAGACCTAAAATGTCTACAGGATGACATGCTAAAACTTTAAATGAATATCAGATACTCGGGAGTAAGAGATGTGCCCTTATGGATTTCCTTTTGACAAAAGTTATGCTTTCATTGTGCAAAAAGTAATAAGTACTTGGGATCATCACCCAGAGAATCTCAAAGCTCTTTGCAACATTTATATATTCTCCTAGCGATTATTGAAATACAGGTAATTATTAGGGCTCCTCTGTCAGACACTAAAGCCCCAAATCGGCACCCACAGTCCTCTGACCATCCGAGCACGCTGGCCAGACTGACATAAGCGGATGGGAATCAGCAAAACACTCGGTACCGAACTACAGCTTTGCCGATTTATGCCTGCTGAAGATCTAGCCATTGTTTTTTTTGCACGGAGAACAAGCCTTAAGCTCGAATTAAATTCCAGGGGCTTGAAATCTCCAAACTGAAAGTGTCCGCGTTCCATGCAGCTCGATGCCCTCAGTGCTAAGGCGAAGAGCAGACACATACACGTGTTATTCTGCCTCTCTGGGATGCTGCTAATTCTCTGGCCAGCCATGGCTCACAGAGCACACATGCGTTTGCCTCAGCCCAGAGCAGCCAGGTGCTCAGCACCCTGACAGCCTGCCTGACCTTACCTTCTTGCTGAATTCTTGCGCTTTCTGTTTCCTCTCCTGGTGGATGGCTTCAGCGCTCTGGACAAATTCCCGCATGCTGCTGCTGGTCCATCTCTGCAGCCGCCCGAGCCTCAGCAGTCCCAGCCTCAGAGACCTCCCTTGGCAGGACTGGATCATGGTAGCTGCTGCTCCATAGAGCTTCACTGGGATCCCGTTGATTTCTAGCACATAATCCCCTGCCTTGATCCCACACGCAGCAGCAGGTGAGTCTGGGATGACACTTTCCACTTGCAGGGGGCCACTACTGCTGCATGCCAGGGCGAAGCCAAAGCATCCCTGGGGGCCAGGTTTGATGTCCACCTGCTGCACACGGGAGACCACACCGATGCTGGGGGGCACGTTGCTGCACTGCCTTGCCAGGCTGAGGAGTGCCTCGCAGCTCAGAGAGGAGACGGGCTGGCCCTCTATCTCCAGGACCTGGTCCCCTGGCCGGAGACCGGCCACGTGAGCACTGCTGCCCTCTTCTACAGAAAGGATGTAGCAAGGACCGTTTCCACCTATCTTGAACCCAAACGCCTCGGGCCAGCCCTGGTTGGTTGTCGGCATGGTTGCAGCTGGAAAAGAAGCGGGGAGAAAAGGAACTGTGGTGTACTTTCCTTTATTAATAATGTTAAGCCCTGTAAACACTATGGATTCCTCCAGGCTCTAGTCCATGCTCTGTCCTTGCCTCTTTGGAGAAGAAATGCTCCAAAAGGGGATTCTTCTGTTGTTGTTTTGTTTCCCTAAAAATGGCTTTTATTCTTATACTGTTGGGCTGCTGACAGTGCCAGTGCAATTAGCAATGAGGAAGCAAGCTGAACCTAATGAAAAGGCCAGTGTTTAAGCTGGCATCCAGAACATGAGGTGAGCCCTTGTTTCACCTGTTAGTTATACATACATAATCCACCTTTCCCATGGAAATGAGTTTAGTCACTTGCTTACATTTACCTGTCTAGAAGAATGATTATTTCGTATTTCTGGCATGTCATGTTAATAAATGGCTCATCCAATGATTTGAGACAGCCTTATTTTAACCAGCTCATCTCAGTACTCAGCATTTCTGTGGTCACAAACTACAAAAACATTTTAATTAGAATTTGCCAGATCCTCTCAACCCTCCTGGGAATATTTCTTTTTGTCCACCCAGGACCAAGCAAAACTGAAGTGTCCTGTGTGTAGCATTAACCTGGTTACAGTATCCTAAAGTATGATTTTTTAAGGCAGGGATTTTTCAAAAGGACTTGTTTGTGGTTACTTTGAAGAGTTAGAACTTGCCTGCACGGATTCAGTGGGAGAACTACGTTCAAGGAGAAATCGGGCACATCAGCCATTATTATCTACAGAAGATGTCCATGCCTAACGTGAAATCGGACCATCTGATCTTCAAGGCTTACTTGCAGTACAGAAAAGCAACGCTCTTGGATGCTCTTTCAAAGCTGTGTTGGACTCTCAGGATGTGTAAGCACATGCATTCATTGTCCATTGACACTGAATGAATCTGCATGCAGATTTTCACTTCATTTGATCTTTGCTGTCTGTGAAGATGCTTTTTATTGCCACATTTATTTCATTTGTGTTACTTAACACACACAGTAAGCATTTACAAAAATGAAAAAAGACTGTTTTATCTGGTTCAATCATCTTATGGAAACTGCGAGGACTCATAATCACTGACGAAATATCCTCAGGAATGCATCTTTACTTTTGTGCTGTTCAGACCAAAAAGTCTCTCAAAGTACGAAAAACAAGATGTTTCTAAAAAGCACCAGGCACCCAGCTGCAAACAAGTCTCAATGGCAATCCTGTCCTGAGACAAACCAGTAATTCCCAGGAGAGAGGACCCAACGAGAAAACTAGTTTCAAGCCCTCCTACCTAGCAGGAGGGGAGCTCTCCAACCTCTGCTTCCCCTGGTTTGGGGACGCAGAAGACGGCTATGCTCTGCTGGAAATTGAGAGATTTGCAAAGAACTTAAGGACAGCTACATACCTAAATGATACAGGAAATCGGTGGGAAGAGGATACCTCAAGCCCGTGTAAATTCTTCTTGTCTCAGTTTTTCCCAATGTTTCGAGTTCACCCTCTGTCTGCACCAGTCACTCAGAGGCACAGAGAGCTGCAGCGTAAAGGCATCTCCCGGCTTATTTACCCCAAAGTGGCTGCTTTCTGCCTTTGCTGTGCTCACACAGCTTACGAGAGTAAATTAGGAAATTCAGGGCTACATAAAGGCAAAGATATCATTTCATATCTTCCTCTTATCACTGTCAGGATGACTTGACTCTCTATACTCGGATCCGAATGACCAAGAGAGGACCGTTTCTTCTGTTCCTTTGGGACTTGGGAGTCTTCCCTGCATTGTCCAACATTCAGCAGAGATGAAAACACTGTTTAATATCCTATTATAGTCCAAAGAGACGAAAGAAACATTCCTAAAGATAATATGGAACAGCTTGCTCTGAGAGAAGAATCTTGAGGGCAGGCAGAGAACACAGCATTACTACAGAAAATTGTATTAATAACTAGTCTGGTCTGTTGTTGCAAACAGCTACCCAATACTATATTGTAAAGGGCACTGGAAGGGTCATCTTAATAAGAAAATATTAAAAGAACCAAACAATATGCTGTAACTGACACCATAAACATAAAAATATTGTCCTTTTTTGTATAGCAGTGCTGATAAAAATGCTACATAAAAGTCAGGTATTGTTACTATTTAAAGAGAAAACAAAATTGCTGGAGCACATCAACAAGTAAAAATGTCAAGGACAGGGAGGCAAACGTTGAGGTTGAAGCACAGAGGCAAGTTTGGCAATAACGAGACGAAATCCCTCAGAGCACGAGGATCAGAATATCTCTAGGGCTGCTGAGCAGAAGCTCTGAATGCTAAGCACAGAGAGAGCCACAAAGGGAGAGCTGCCGCTCCGGGCTGAACACCGCAACAAACCCAGGCAGAGCAGCACCGGGGCAGAGCAGGCAGCGCTGACCCTTGCTGCGGAGAGCTGTAATAATCCATTTCCATCTCTTGTTCCTACTGGTTTGCGAGCAGGTAAAACACTTACAGAAAGTTGCAGCCTTTCGAGTGAGCCTAGCAGGGGGTCTCACCAGGAGCAGGTTTGTCTCGCTAAGGGCTCGAAGCTGTCTTTGTTTTCCTCCATCACCCTTGGAAGAGCGTATCACCTACCCACGCAGCTCCCGTCTCCTCAAGGCAGCTTCCTAGCTTCAGCGTCCTCGGTGCGGCCTTCCAGAGGCGCTCAGTGGGTAGAACAGCCCATGCACTCAATGTCACAGACCCGCAGGAGTGGGCAGAACAGTAAAACACAGGTGGAATCTGTCGCTCCGGGCAGGGGGTTGTTTCCTCCCCTCGTCACACAAGGCAGGCATTATAATGACCTCCCAGTCTTCTTACTCAAGAGTTGCTCCCTTCCAGGCACTGTGAATTAATGGCAGGCATGAAGATAGGTCTTTCATTCCTTTTTTTCCATTCTAATTAACTTTATTTTCGTTGCAAGGAGAACTGTGGACAGACTAATTACCGTGTTGGTACTGGCTGAGTCTAGTGCTGACCTGAGACTGCAGATCTGAGTGGAATTAAGACCTGAAAGGAGGTAAAACAGATTAGAGTTCACGTGGGGAAATCCATTGCCACACAGCCAAACTGAATAGACAGTGGCTTAGCAAAGCAGCAGAAAGGTGATGCTCCACCATAGCTCCCGAGCGGTAGGCTGGGCATGCTCAGACTTATTTGGCTCTGTCACCAGGTGATTTGGGTAGAAAACTGGAGACTTTGGCAGTGTATGTCTGCCAAACAACATGAAATATGCTGAAGAGATTTTAGGGTCTAGACTAACTTTCTTGCAGCTCATCAAAACTGCTCTCTCCAGTAACACTCACTCTTCATGCTGTGGAAACCGAGGGCCGTTCTCGTAGCACGGACTAGCTGAGAGCGCCTCACAGGGCACAGACCACCACACAGGCACACGCTCCATGTTAAGCTGCTATTGCTGATTTTCTGCTTTGCTTCCTCAGCACTTAGGGATCCCAGAGCTTAGCGAGCTAAGAGGTTTTAGAGTATTATATGTCCTGCTGCAGTACCAGCAGAAGAGGTAGTCTGCGGGGGGGATATTACATCCCATTATGAACCACACAGCAATCCTGTCTTCCCTTTAATGTACCAATGGGGGCTGCGCTGTCAGCAGTGTTGGGCTGGATTTGAACCAGTCTCCACAGGAATCTCTGACTAGGGACATTTGACATGGGCTTGATTAATGCCTTGAGAAAGGGAGCTGTAGGGGACTGTCTACCAAACTAGAAGGTGAACACGATGCTGTAGAGGTTCTTCCTCTCACTAATGCCCTTACTATTCGTAAACGTGTCACTGCTACAATAGACTTGGAAACCCTTCCTCCTTCGGTGCTCTCAGCTCTGGTCCTCACGCCCTGCTCAGTAAAGGTACACGAGTGCCCAGGCCAGGGTGCTGTTTTGCCAGAGACTAGGCATGGCTTCATGTCATCTGTTTCTACTCTTGTAGGGGGCTCTTCTTTTGTAGAAACCAGATGTGCATAACACAGTGTCCTCAGTGAGCCCAAGGGGAATGTCTCATTCCATCCAAATGTTGATTTCTGGGAGTTTTCAGGGGTGTTATTTTTAACAAACTACTGTGATGCACGTGCCTGCTATTTGTGATGTTTGTGACAGTCCTCAGCCATCTCTACTCTAGGGTCTGATTTCCAGGCTGGGTTTTATACATGGCTGATTTTCCTACACGGATTTTGAGGTTTCTTTGTTTTGTTCTGTTTTCATGGTTGTTCACAGAGACATTCCTCTGTATCAGAAGAGCACCACTGTCTAAATAGCCTTTTCTCTTGTTATTCCCCCTTTCCAATCCCCGGTTTCCTCTGATGCTCGTACTCTTGTGCAGGTTGCCACATTCCCAGAGGTGAAGCCAGAAGAAATGGATATGTGATTTGTGTTACCACAAACACGCGGGAATCTGAAGTCAAAAAGCATTCTCAGTCTCTGCCTAATTCAGCATGCGCTCCCACCGCCAAACTCAATTTGTGGTCTGTCATCAGAACAGATTGTGTTTGCTCTGGAGAAGAACTGATGCTGCAGGACTAAGATGTCATGGCAGAACTAGAGGCCCAAACCAGTATGAAACGGCTTGCTATAATCCTGAACTGGGCTGCAAGTCAGAGATGCGACTCCTCTGCAGTGTAATAAAGTGGCTTAGGACTGGATCAGAAGCTAAGGCTACAGAATAGCATCACAGTTCATTGGCAGACTTGGTGAAAGTTGGTGGCAGTGGAGGGAGGAGTAAAGCTCGTCATAGCAAGGGGAAGGCCAGTGCAGAAGTGAAGCGTGCTGGCAGAAGCGTGTGAGGATCCCTGCAGTACAGTTGGCTCCACTTCCTCATTTTGTGGGCAATAAAGTCACCCAAGGTGAAACTCAAATGTGCAGCGCAGACGTGCTCCTGCTGCTGGTGTGCCGCGATCAGTATGTTACCAGCGTGCCTCATTAGCCTAGGAAGAATTTCCTGATCAGAGAAGAACTAGGAAACCATGATAATTTGTCACTGCCTCTGTTAGGCCTGGGAGGTACAAGCACCTAGTGACAGGTCCTGAGTAAATGATAAAAGCAGCAGTGCTGCCCTGCTCAGATACCTTCCAAGTGCCAACACAAGGCCAGCATGCGCTGTAACTGCCCAAGCTTCAGGCTGTAATAACTCTGTTTGCACAGGTTCTGAACCAGCACAACTCTTCTTTACCAGCTGAAATGCATTGGCTGGTGTTCGGTGGTGCATGCACTGCCCTCCCGTGTTGACGCAGAAACGCACGCTCCTACAAAAATGTCAAGGAATCTGCTTAGCTATTAAACTGCCCAAACACAAAGAGAAAAGCTGTGATGGATACTCAGTTCTAAGCGAGTAATTGCTTCATTTCCCACTATTTTAAAGTGACTAAATACTTTAAAACATTGACCGTGAATTCTAGTCCTTGCAAGAAATTAATTATGGAATTCCAGGCTAAATCTACGGATAATAAAAAGACTGTTGTCCTTGTAGACCTGCTTCTAGACTTCTGGATCTGACAAAACTTTTAACTGATTTTTGCAGCATTTAGATTGAATGAGCTTCATCTCTTGTCAGAGTTAACCTACTATTAAAGCATTTACTGGCTGCTTTGTCCTTGAGTACAGTCTAGAAGGCCACTTTGAGCAAAGCTCAGCTGCACTGCCTGTGTCAGTGCCCTGCTTAGTGGCTCTGTGGCACTCACTGCAGTTATTTCTGTTATTGCAGCCAGCTCTGTCTCTATGCCCCGAGAATGCATTTAAAAACTCCATGGGGCACTCTGCAGACAAATAAACTACACAGTTTTGCACCCACATTTACACTAATGCCAGTGTCCCAACCAAGGGCCCCTTGACACATTGCCAAACTTGCAAAGTTACATCTAATGTCACAAACAAATCTATACCTGTACTTGGAACAGAATAAAAATTTTGCTTGCTATCAGTAGGAGGAAAAAAAGGCTTCTTCACAATGTTCTCTGCCAGGAGCAAAGTGCCTCGGGCTCTACAGCAGGACTATAGACTTGCCCTTGGGCTAGACTGTAGGATAGCTGTGCCCCTGTGAGTACTTAGGCTGCATTTCTCCCTCTCCCAGTTCTAGCTTGGTGCGTTGTTGGTCAATAACATACCAGGGAAAATAAGCTCCCTTTCCTGAAAGTAACCTCATAGCCATTCTTCCTGACCAAGCAAATTATTTTACTCTCGGTGTAAAAGCATTCCTTGTAAGGCTTACCTGTCTTGCCCGAGATCTAGCCAGCAGCAGACTGGGACCAAGACTATTAGCTGACAAAATCATCACAACAGCTTCAAAGCTTTTGGATCAGTTACCTGATGGCAGTAGCTGGCTGAGTTTCTATGGCAAATTCTATCCAGGTAGAGTAACCTAATAGGCCATTCATCAGCAGGCTGACCTAAGAGTGTTCTGGAGGAGTACAGAATGTGCTGGAGGTATGGGAACGGTTTCAGTTAGCAGTCACCACGAAGGGCCCCAGCAGAGGACTTTCATCTCTTAAAGCTTTAATCCATTCCAGCCTAGTTCTAGATGCTCTGTCGGCAGGTACTGGAACACATTCACCCCTACTTTTTTACAGCATATAGGACATGCTGGTTCTACAGCAGGCTTCTCATTGCCAGGGAATAAAACATCCAGAGCTCCTGCACAAGCTAAGACCTTCCTCAAGAGATTTCACCAGACGCAATGAATCTGAGGAATTTTTTGCAATGTCCTAAAAGCTACACGGAACAGAACATGGCAGATTGTAGCGTTATATAGAGCCTTCTTGGGCGATTGCTACCTTCTAGATCACAGTCACAACTACTTCATGGGATTCACTGAAAACAGGGGACTTGCATATTTATTTCCTTCAGCTCACATTATAATGAGCTGCCCTGGACCATAACAATTCTAGACACAACTTTGGGATTTAGCAACATGATCTGACATCAACTTTTACTTCTGTTGCTTTCATCTTCCTTTTCTGCTGTGGGGGAAGGAAAAAGGCCTGTAATGAATAGCTCTACTGCTGTTTGCAATAGCTTCATCTGCTTCAGGAGCTGATGGCTGATTCCTAGCTCAATTTAGAGACGCTCTCTAGTGGTTTTGTCTTGTGGTACCTATATCTCACACTCATCAGACTGTTAACTAATTCCCTTTGTGTCTTAAAGAGCCCATTCCCTCCACAGAGCTGCCCAGGCTGTCTTGGCACTGACTCACCTGAGTGCTGACCAACTGGGAGGGCTGAACCGTGAGCTTTCAAAAGAGAGGCCACTGTCTTTTAAGACTGATGTTTTTAGATTTCTTAGGCAAAACAGTGTGCAGCAGGCTCCAATCCCTGGGGTGGTTCCCCCCCTTAGCTGGTTTCCTCCATTCCCTTGCGGTACCTCTCTTCTCCCAAGGACAAGGACTTGCCGCTGCAGCAGCCTGAAAGCTGCCTTTCCTCCAGCGGGTCCCTAAGGGATTGGAGCTAAAACTTGACTGTCCGCAACCCGCATCTCAAAGGAAGGGATCACTGCTTTGTGTGCGCTACGGAAGAGGTCAGCGGGGCCGGGACTGCCGCGGTCACCTTCTGTCCCGGTTTCACCTCCAAGCTACTCTCACGGCCCTCCAGAACGAGGTATAAACCGGAGCGTCAGATTCAAGCTGTCTGCGAGGGACCAGGGCGGCCAGGCGCCCAATCACCTCAGGGGCGGCCACCGCGAGGCGCATCCCGCTCCCCCGGGGATCTCTGCCGCCTCCC